ATGAACAAAGATGTTCTGAATGCATATAAACAGGCATTGATTTGTCGAAAGTCGCGGAAAATATATGATACACATTATCTGGGTGATCTGAGAAAAGTAAATCAGCTCACGACTTGAAGATATTCTTGTTACATGTATTCTTGTTATCACAAAAATTGGAAAGAAAATCTCTTTCGCTATATGATTAATTGGCTTCATTTTTAATATGAAGTTATATGTTCGTTATCATTCTTTACGGACAGGATAATCATTTTCTAAGAATAATTGTATACTATTGTAAACAATGTAAAAGTTTTAAATAAAAGATATTAAAAAAAACCTGTTTATTTTTGCCAAAATATAACCTGAAATCACCTACACTGTCCATCAAATGGGACCGTAATTAACCGAGTTCTCTTTTTGCAGTAGGGACTGACACAAAACAATCTCTCACTGCTCAATGGAAACGGAAATATGTGTTACAATCATTAATAGTTGTGTAAATAATGCCCTAACAATTTACTGACATGAAAAACGTCATTACCTATACCACCTTTAGATGGATTGTATTTGCTGACATGGCTATATTGTATCCACAAAGGAACTTCCAATATGATAACTTAAAATTAAAATAGTGATATTCTTGTTTGATCTATTTGTTTTTTAATCGCTAGTCTCGTTTAAAAATTGCTGTCACGTAAAGTATACTCTTACACATGAAATCAAATGGGAGACATAAATCACATGCGCAGGTGATGATGATATATTGTTAAGTTGATAAATTATTAAGTAAGTGAAGCTGATGACACAAAAATTAAAGTTAGCATGTTTATCTTAAAATTTTATCTTTAGTTACAATTGACGATATTTACTAGTGAAATATCCGAATATGCAATATTTGTGTCCGGCTATGTGGTGACTTTTTTTTTTTTTATAAAAATCACTGGGATTTATGGAGTCGATACGCAAATGCAAGTAACAAATAATGTAAATTGATAATATGCAATCAATATTTTCTTTTCGAGATGATGACCTCAGCGAGTGTTTCCTTCTCGTGAATAAGGTTTTAATTACAATCTGTTTCATACGAATACAAAAATAGGTCTGCTAATAACGAGGCAAGATTAGATATCTATAAGAATGGAAGACCGCAGCAAATGTTGTCATCTTCTTGTATATTAGGTTTTGATTACATTCTGTTTCCTTTGAATACAAAAAATAGGTCTGCTAGTAACGGTGCACGATTGAGTATCCATGGGAGTTATGAAAGATTGTCGGAGAACCTAACGCTACACAGCCAATGCCAATGTATGTAACCATTTAACTGTTAAATCCTGTAGCAATATAATTTTTGATGTAAAGCTTTCAACAAAATTTAATAAAACTTGGCTTAAATCCAATGACCAGGATTTATAAAAAATAACTAACTAACTTCTGTAAGGGTTACTTAAATATTTGATAGAAATACTGAAGTGTAATTCTTCTTAATATATTCTTAAATTAAAAAATAACTATAGCTATGTATTTTTAACTTCTGTATGGGTTACTTAAATATTTGATAGAAATACTGAAGTGTAATTCATAAACATACTAAGTGTTTAAGCATTGATTTAAAGTTAAGTGTCCTCAGGAGGTGTCTTAAGCATATAAGAAATGCTTAAGTTTTCTTTATCAATATGAAATAATAGTGACTAGATGGAAATTTAATCTTTTATCAAGAAAGCATGCAATAAAAGCTAACTAGAAATTCTTGTAGATTTTGAGATATTTACCAACTAGTAAGAAACATATTTGCAATGTCGACGACATAGCTGTACATTTTCATTTATGATGTAATGCACATAGAAATAAATTCCTCCATCCCAAAATAGTACATTTTATGTTTGGGAATTTCCATGGATTGCTATGGTGACTTTATCTACGAGTGCTTTAATTTTCTTAGAAATAAACTTAGCTAAGAGTTACCCTTAGAATTTTTATGAATATGACTTAATTTTTTTCCTTAACTATGAATGCATTTATACTTCAGTGTGTATCTTAGCACAAATTTTAAGTATCTATATGAATCCCAACCCTCATTTGGAAACCCATCTCACAAAATACGAAAAAATACTATTATAATTCACTCGGAGTATTCAGTTGACGGCTAGTTGACGATCAACTGACTGAAAACTCTATAAAATAGTGCGTTTTACGTAAATTTAAGGAAAATCGTGTAGGGAAAGCTGCCATGTATCTAAAAGGAAAAGTCAAAACGATGGGACTACTAAAATGATATGCATGTATGTATAGAAATGCATAAAAATGAATTGCACTGGCGCACTCTCACATGTTGATGTGCCGCCTGCATTCGCTGTCAGATAAAGTAGCAAAAGCAATGAAGGAATATCACATGTGTATATTTAAGAAAAGTATTTCAAAGATTTTTTTATCTTAAATCGAATACGTATAATGAAATTAAATGGTCTGATGCGTTTAATGTATTATTCCTTGCATTGTAAAGAATATTATAACTCTATAAACTACTCAAAACTTAGCAATTAATATCTTTATTACCGTAAAACATGCAGGGTATCTAAAATGACAGAATAAATTTCTCATTAAGCATCTATCTTTCTGAAGGCAATTAATAGTTTTTACTGTTTATGACCATGAGAGATTCTCATCAAAGTTTCTTTAGGGACATACACTCTATATTTGTGTGACATTACGTACTAAGCATTCATTTCTCTGTCGGAAAAGTGTTCTGAATGAAAAGAAATATTTTTTCAAATACAAATAACAAGGATATTTGTTCCTCTCAGATGGTGAATAAACGATCAATTTTTGTCAGATTGTAAGATTTGAAATTATCTCGATCAACTGCGCAGGCATCATGCAGCACATGTTTTTTCATTACATTAAAAACCTTGTACTATAAAAGGGAAGTACGAAAAGGGAGAGGATTGTGTACAAAAACATATTGATGTACATGCATATTTCATGTTTCGTTATTCTCTCGATAAACTGCCAAAAAGTTAAATAAATACGAGTCGAGACGGATGACGAGAAAAGAGTTGCAAGGCTTCCCTCTATTTTTGATGTGTCAATGGAAAACAGTATAGGCTATTGGGTAAAAAGCAGCTTATAGAGACAAAAGGGTTATATGTACATTATCAAAGACACATAATGCATATTAGAAAATACAGAGGTAGGAAGGAGGGGGGTTTCGGCACTAGATCAAAATAAAGAGAAGGGGGTCCAACCCCTAAGTGCTTGAAGCGTAGCAAAGACGAACCGTGCAGGAAATATTGTACGGCTACATGTCTTGATCCTCTTATCACTCGTAAAGATTAGCAGTAAGACCTATTCTAGGACCCAAACCTTAACCCATGGAGGGCAGTAATACTGAAAACAACAATTTTTGACGCTGATTGCAGAAAAATAAAAAAAAAAGAATCCAGAATTCAACTTACAGCTTTGAGTTTTACACCGAAATGTTTCAAAAAAAGTCCTGCGATAGACAAGTATAGTATATTTCCTACTCAGAGACATGGCTTTTTCCAGCCCATGCAACCATTCTTTACAACGTAGTATGAGGTGTTGATTGTGACGTCACAATGCCGCTGCACACGCACTGACCATCCGGTGAATACGGACTCGAATCTAATAAATATGTAGAGAGGAATGTTAAGCAGGTGGCTTTGTATGCCTACGTGTACGTTTAGCTAGGGTATCAGTGCAATTTTCATACCGCGTAATTCTACAAACTGTACACAACGTGTAGATTCATTTGTACACGTTGTTTGAAATATCCGACGTTTTTAAGGCTTTTTTCTCAAGATTTTGATATAAACGCCAGGATTTCCTGGCACATAAAATATAAAATCATAAAAAAGCCTGGAAAACGGCAGATATTTCGGACAACAGTACATAGAGGTGAGGGCCTGTATGTTCTTGTAGTTTGTTAAACAGAACACACTGTTACGAGTCACGAGTACTTGTTAAAACACTTCTAGGTTTACACGTACAAGTTGAAGTACACTATCAAATGCTTAACGTCTCAGGTAACCACCGTAGTATTTCAAACCGTTTACGATTGTATCTAGATTATATTTCTAGACCATATAATAAAAACATATCTTGCATTCACTTGCATGCTATTTTGACTATTTCAGTTTTGAGTTTGTAATCTGGAATTTACGGTAGGTGTTAAATAATGTGGTGGTAACACAGCATTTGTTTCATATTTAGAAATGGTATTACCTAAAGGTGTTTTAACTATCAATAATCGTACAAAGATATTATTTACACAATTTACATCGATAACAATCCTCTGATCCAGAGTACCAATGCGTGAAAATTGATAACATTTTCTATTAAATATTGTCCAAAATGGCGACGTTATTGCTGTGCATCATTTTTTATTGTATATAGAGTTGAATATAACACATGATCACACATATAGGAAATGAAAAAATGGAAATAATTCAAAAAACATAAACATGTCTCAAACACTGCTTTTAGGTAAAATTGAAACAAAATGTTCAAGGATGACTTGATCAGTTATCTGAAGGAAGATAGAGAAAAATAACAAAAAGTCTTTAATTTTATGAATGTCACAAATCACGTTTCAACGTCAGTGTTGCACCAATAGCTTATTCCGTAAGATTATCATTACCAAGAATAACTTAAAACTAATATTTTGTTAAAATTTATATACGTTGTATTTATAAAAAATGTAAACTGTGATGCATGCCAGTTCTAAACTTTTTGATTTTTATGAAACAAAAAAATTTTTTTTCTGGGAAAACCCTCGTATATTTTTTTAATAATTTCAATACTTAACTTAGATAAAAATTACAAAAAGATTTAAAGCAAAATACAACTTTTTTTTTAATTTTTTTTTCTCAAATGGAATGTTTTATTGTGAGTTGTGAGCAAAATTTCAAAAGAAGATGCATTTTATCATTGGAGATACAAAAAGGTACCGAGAGTGAAAATTTCTTCATAAAATATTTTATTACATAAATGAGGTTTCATAAATATGTCTGTAGTAGTAATACCATTATGAAAGCTAGTAAGGTCAACTATTCTTTCTAATATGAATAGTCCAGAAAATATATAAAAAAAAATTACGATGATAACACAGCCCTGTAAGTAAATAAATAAGCTTATTTCTTAGAATTTTTTTTATTAGTTATTAATAGCTGGATCTGAAATTTCCATGTATAAATTGAGTTCAGTATCATTATCATGCTTGTCAAGATTTTGTGAAGCAATAGACTGTTCATCCTTAAGTCGTTGTAAAGAATCGTAATCAAACTGTACCACAACAGGTGCGTCACTTCCGCCAGCAGTTTGAAAATGTTTGATTTGACTGCACATTAAAAAACAAAAGAAAAAGATGCTTTGAATTTAACACGCATGTCTACTCAAGTCATTTTGATATGCATCGTTTAATGCATGATTACTAATTCTTAAAATGAAATGCATTAAATTGAAAAAAGAAATAAATATTGTGTAACGTACCATTTCAACCTTATAATGTATGCGATAAGCAAACAAACCACAAGAGAAAGAACACCAATGGATGGCAGGTAGATTTTCTTAGAAAATGTGCTAACTTCCTCTATATTAAAATATGGTAATATATTAATTTTTTTCTTCGGTGGAATGAAGTAGTTTAATTTTTGCAGAGACTTGATGAACAAAAAATATCTATGACATCTAGATTCTTTTGCATCACAACTTCTCTCTAATTTCAAGAATGTGCCTTTCAGAATCAAAGATCATAGAATGGAGCATAAGAATTCTGTGAAGCAACTTATAATTAAAAGAACGACGTAAATAAAATTCATTTTGGAAAGATAAGCTTATCACGCAAATATTCCTTTAAAACTCTCCTTCAAAAATAGTTTGAAGTAAAACTTGGATTCCAAATGATGGCTCTGCCCTACCCCTCCCCCAACCAACCCCACTCTCCATCCTTCAGCAAAAACAAAAAAATCCCTAAAGCTATTCACATAATTTTAAACTACTAATGATCTTTGTATATTAATTATATAAATTAATGTGTAATCACTTTTAAAAGGAAATGCAATGAGTTCAAAATACAAAATACAAAAACTGCATATGCTTTTTCCATTACTTTACCCATATACATGTACATATTTTAATTAAGGACTTATAACAACTAATCGAATGTTTTTAAGAAAACTAATTGGGAATTTTTTTTTTTGACATTTTTAACTTAACTTAAAACGATAGCTTAATATGTATTTTTAAAATTCACACTCGTGATCGGACAGTCCTCATGAATTTTTCTTTTGTTTAAAATTAAATTTAAAGACAAATAGACAAAATAACTGCTTTCACTTAATAGTGCATTGAAAAATAAATCGATTGACTTTTCTGGACCTGCACATCCGCTGACTTTATCACATTGAACGACAATTGCATTCCCATATACATGTTTTTTAATTAAGCAAAAGTACCTTACATAAAAACCATGAGGACATGTTTCATAAATCGGTACAGTTTGAACCACAATGTTCCTGGGGTACCCACAAAAACGCTTTTTGTAAAACAAAATTTTACGTTTTTTGTAAAACAAAAAAAAAGTCAAAAAAAAAAAATGCTAGGAATTCCAAGAAAAGATTTTTTACTCGAATATAATATATCTCACCTACACATAGGTTACCATTTTTATGGTAATTTTGACAACAAGTGATGTCTCTGTTTGTAGAAAGAAAAGATAACAATTCGTTTAAAGACGTAAAGACATTTTTTAAGAATGCTTAAGATACTCTAGATTATTTTAAACTTGATATGAAAAAAGAACTAATTTAATGATTTCTAAGATATTATTTGCTACTCACTCAGATAGATTGGAGCAAATTCCAGGGTTTACGGCGAACAGTTCATTGAATACTCTGAAAAAGAAAATGAACACCAAAATTATACGGCAATCCATTTTGTGATTTATACTTGCGTTTTGGATAATTTACATTTTATGGTATATATAGATCTTAATGCTGTTTCGTATTGAGAGGAAAGGAAGAAGAAAACACACTGGAAATAATGAATGATTCTACAGGAAAATGAATTCGAAGGGCGGAAATATCGTGACAATTTCCTAAAAAATGGTAATTAGATAAACATAAATTACATCCACGATAAAATCTCAACATTCCAAGAGTGAAAATGTTTAATTCCTTGAGTCGGTGAAAAGGTTCATATACATGAACATAGGAATGTAAGCATTTTAAATTATCCTAACCATAAGATTTTTTTAAACAAGAATTTCCTTTCACTAATTTAACACCACGGCAATAGGAAGAAAACGGTACGGCCTGACACGTTTACATCATTTAAAGTCAGGTTAAATGTGCTCAGCATTTAACGTTTGTGCGACATGGTTAACAAGAGATGTTTAATATCTCCTCTGCATCTGATCCCTACTCTTGTATTTCTGAGTGTATGTGCTTAATGTCTTTTTTACATATATGTATTAGTATTGTATTGATTTTTTGGTGGGACCAATCACTGGTATCTTCATCTTATAATTACCATTCATTCTTATATCATCTTAAATACATGTAAATCTTACAATTTCGATATAGATAATTTCACACTGACGCCATAATTGGTTAACACGTTTTATGAAATCAATTTATACGGATAAAGTTACCTTACTACAAATCATACGCATATGGGTCTTACAAATCTCTCAGGTGCAGATTCGATACGCAAGGGTATGATCTATGTATGAACAAAACGATGTAGGTTATTTACAACCAAGTTGCTTAAACAAGAATATCAACAATCTATAGTCGATACAATAACCTTGTCAGTAAATACAAATTATCATTGAATCAAATGCTAACTGACACTTTTCATACTAATCATATAAATACTAAATTGTCGACGAATTTCCCGTAATTTCCCGATCATGACAAGGAGCACTCAGCGGGTGTAATCGGTCGACAAGGGATCCTTACTTCTCAATGTCATCCGTTCCTACCTCTAGTGTTTTAAAGGTATGTGTTTGCTCTGCTTCATTTTGAATTATTAAAAAAATTGTTGGGCTTAAATTCTGTTTGTTATCTCCATATATTTCATACATCAATATTAACATCAGCCAGCAATATTGGTCACAAAGGACAATAAAATGTTAAAATACATTTGCTTAATTTAAGGAAATAGTTTTAATGTAAAGAACTTTTCTATTTCTAGATTGTAACATGAGATTTGTTTTGGTAACATGCTGTCCTGCTTGAACTAAAGTGATTTTAGAAGACAGATTTTCACTTTCATAAAAAGCTAGAATTACACGTACATGTACAATGTCAAAATGCACTGAAGCATGTGAAAAAAAATCTGAACGAGAGTTTGAAATACCATTGCTTTGATTGAAAAAAGAGTTTATTTTGTTATTAAAAAAAAAAGATCTAGACAAGGGTTAAAGGGGATACATGTATATCCTCCGAGGGCAAAGGATTAAACCGAGCGCAACTAGGTAAAACTTTATTTAACTGAGAAATCTAATAATACTTATTTGCCTAGTATTAGGAAAGTTGAATACCTTTGAATCATGGCTTCAAGTAATTTTTTTACAAATATGACGTTAATGAAAAAAAGAAATTATTGCTTTCCTCTCTTCTAAATGATACGTCTTCCTATATTCTTACATCATAATAAAGGTCCTTGGCAAAATTAATTTTTCAGCCCGAAAATAGGTAAAGATGAAAGATATTGTGATAACGAACAGTATTCAATATCAGAGTCCATTAAAAAAACAAAATAGGAGCAGAGCAAACACGTACCTCTAAAACATTAGAGGTGGGATAAGGTGCCATGGAGGAGTGAGCATCACCTGTCACCGGTTATATCCGCCGTGTGCTCCTTGTCCTGATCTGGAAATAACGGAAAAATCCACAGTCAATTCAGTGTATAAATAATGAACTGATAATTGAATGAAAAACGTCCTTCAGCATTTGACTCAATGGTTAATTGTGTTTGCTGGCAAGGTCATTGTATCTATTAAAGAACTTCCGAAATGATGACTTTAAACGAGACTGCTGATATTCTTGTTTCATCATCTTGTTTGTCAATAATTTACCTCGTTTTAGAAATTGTTCATTCGTAGAGCATACTGTTGCATTTCGAATCAACTGAGATATATAAACACCGAATGCACGTGATGAAGGTATATTGTTTCATAACTGATGAGTAAGGGAAAATGACGATAGAAAATTTAAACGCATTACGTTTGTCATAGAGCTTGGTTGTTGGATTACCATTAATGTCTTTTTCAAGTAAAATATCCAAAAATGAAACAGATGTGTCAGATTCTGTGGTATCTTTAACAAACAGCGATCTATGAATATTATAAATATGTTAATTTCACGACTAATGCGCAGATTGGAATTTCTAATGATTTTGTCTGATCCTAAACCTCCCTAATAATCTGTTTAACAAAACCATCAATGCAATAAGAAAAACAAACTAGTCCAGGATTATAGTTCATGTATATTATTATTATAAATATTATATCATTGAAGATAATTCAGGGCCAATGACATTGTTGGGAGTATCTGATAAATTAATGACCAAATAAACAGAATTATATACTTTTCTGCACTTTTTTAGGGAACGAAAAGAAAGAAAAAACGAAACATACACACAGAATTGACTCACACACTCTCACCCTCACACTAGAGCAAATACATGGGAGGCTCAGGTGATAACGCTTTAAAATTGAAAAAAAAATATTGATGTTCCTCAGTTCTCCTGCCGAACGACTGAGATTGTTTTGTTAAAAGCAGGTAAAAACAAATAACATCATGTAGAAGTGAAACATTTTATTTATTAATTATATATTAAAGTAAATGACGAAAGAAGAAAGAAGAAAATCAGTTTTTAAAGGGACTCATATACAGAGTATTACACATCCAAGACAAAAATATTACACGATCTTACCCCACGCACCGTAATGACATTGTAACATGATGTACATAGGAAAAAACGGGGGTCAACCAGATTAGAATAAGAAAACAAACCCTGTATTCATACACAAGGTACAATATACATGTATTTCAAGTTGACCTTCTTATAATCATCATCAGATTCAAAACAGATTCAAAACAGATTCAAGACATGATTCTTTTCCTATCAATTCTGGCACAATTAGTGAATTATTGGATTCTTTTTTAGAATTGAAAATAGTTTTGAACAAATGGGGTATATTGGATAATTGAATATTTTCAATATTGTTTTTCTGGTGGAAGAGGGAGAGGATGTTAAAATCTCATTAGAAACATGACAATTTCCGAACATATATAATATAAAAGTATTTCATTAATGTATTTATCACTGTATGGTTGCTAATTTAGGATTGTCCCACGCTCACAGTTAAGTAAGTGAAAAGATTCATGTAAATAAGAATCTTAGCATTTTAGTTGATCCTAACCATACGATTTTTTCAACAAGAATTTCTTTTCAATATTTAAGCACCATGGCAAATG